TGCTTCTGGGTGGAAATTTGGGATGGCTCCATATCAGAAAATGTTTACCTTATAGAGGTTAGTCATCCTGGGAAGTTTCATGCTTTTATCACAAAATGAGCAATTCTGGTTATTTTTGGCTCTTAACAGCAGGACTAAACTACTATAATTCAACCCACAATGCCACACTGACAGAGCAACAAACACACTGCAAGCACATTGGGACGACAGCACATGTACTAACCAAGAATATCGTTGGACAATGTCAGCCCCAGGGCTCCCACAACCATGTGACTGCTGCAAACGCTACAGAACACACCAAACGCTTAACAAACGCTAACAGACGGCCAATACACTGACAAATGCCTATAAAAAACATTACTGACCAGACTAGCTCCTGGTCATAACTATGTAAAATTTTATTGAACTATGTCAAATGTTACAGAACGCACCGAATACTAAACAAATACAAACAGACGGTCAAGACACTAACAACCACCTACAAAAATGCTACTGACCAGACTAGCTCCTAGTTGTTAACTACGTTAAATTCCATTTAACTATATATAATGAAAAATGGCTAAAAAGCAAGTATCAAATAAATGTGTCTTTCAATTTGTCCGTAGTGATCAGTAGAATGGAAATAGTACTGTGGCAATGTTCAGTGTTATACCAGGCTGGCCTTCTGACTTGATTCACTGAACAAAGTGTATCTGCCTGGCTTGATGTTTTGCCCCATTTGTTTTCTTTAACAATAGGCAGCATTGTATGGTTTTGTAGCAGTTGTATCTTTTTCCAAACTTTCACAATTTTCAACAAACCAGGTTGCGCGTGATAAGGTGCATAATATACAGTTTACAAATGTCAGTATTTCTTAGGAGGTCTGGATAATACTGAGATGTAAACCAGAATAGTTGTAACTTGTAATTTTCCTGTCTTATTTCTCCCCAGCCAAACCAAGAATCATTCAACACCCGGCAGATGTGATTGCTAATGAAGGAAGCTCTGCTTCTTTCACATGCATTGCTGATGGCGAGCCTCAACCAACTGTATTTTGGGAAAGAGAAGGAAAAGCGTCATCCACCATGTTACCAAATATGTATTATTATGGAGGACGATTCTTTGTGGCAAGATTGGGTAAATCCTTGCAAATTGCTAAAGTAGAAAAGGAGGATGAAGGAGTGTACACTTGCTCGGCATTAAGTAACATTGGCAACAGTCACGCCAAGGCAAAGCTCATTGTCATTGGTAAGGATTCTTTTGTGTGTGTCTTGTTTTGTAACTGTTGAACAGTAACACTTTGAGGTATCTTTTACTGGATCTGGGAGACAGGATCTTATTTTCCAACTTCTCACCTTTTCAGCATCAAAATGAGGGCTGTGGCAAGGAGAACTTGAAGTAATGTGTCAAACACTAAAGACTGTGTTTGCCAACATTTCCAAACACCAAGAAGAGAGTTGAAAATACGACACGTAGCGGAGTATTTTTGACGAACTTCGAGGTGTTTGGAAATGTGGTTAAACACTGTCTAGAGTCTTTGATATATCTTCTCATGAATTATTAAGGAGTTTGAGAAATATTAATCCAAGCCTCCTTGCAATATTACATTTGATAATCATAACAATAACAATTTCCTCAAATGTGATTGGTGTACATACATGTAAACTGCTGTATTTTGCTCTAATTAATCTGCAAAGTTGTAATCGGACCGTGTAATCGGACAGTTGGCTGTAATCAGCTACCTGTAATTGGACAGTTACATGAGCCAATCATTTTAATCCACCAATCACAACATCATTATTAATAATAACCAATTAATATTTATCACTATTAATAACCAATTCAAGAGACTGACTTTGTAAAATTGTGGAGGTTAAGTCTCTGGTGACTGTTTTGAAAGAAACTTGAGGGCCGTTTTGCAAGCTATTCTCAATATTTTCAATTCTGATATTTAAAATGACTATTAAAAGGTCTTTTTCAAATGAAACTTTTACTTTTGTGGGAAATTGTAATGGTTATGATTAATAGGTAACAGGACATTGTGTTGTCCAATTCAACCTGTAATCATACTCGTGATTAACAAATCAGACTCCCTTTTCATGGTCATCCAATTTTGTTAGTCACTTGTATTCATACAGACTGAATTGGACTACACTCAGTCCTATTACCATTTTACATCAGTAGTTTTGTAAAATACTTCTCCTTCTTATCCTCAGGACCAACAGATGTTCTGCCCTCAATCATTTCTGGTCCATCTAATCAATCCGTTGATGAGCGAACAAAGGTAGTTTTTTCCTGTGAAGTAGATGGTAGCCCAGAGCCATCTATTAACTGGTTTCAGAATGATGACAACCTTCCACTGCAGAATACATCATCTGTCTCAATAACGCAGTCAGGGTTGATTTCCCAATTGAGCATCACTAATGTGAATATCAGTGCCAAAGGAGTGTACAGATGTGTTGCTACTAGTAATATTGGAACAGCCTCGCAGGAAGCACAGCTTGAAGTGAAAAGTAAGTTTTCTTATGTTGAACTGACAGATTTGTAACTTGTCCCTACTTGCTCAGAGCAAGATTAAGTCAAGGGTTTGTCAGAATTTAAGACCTTGTTTAGTTGGGAAGTAATGTATTAATTATCATTTTCAGCCTGAATAAAACTCCAGTTAGCCTGAGAATGGTTAGCTGTCGTATGTACAATGTAGATGAAGGTAAATGCTAAATACACTATAGTTTAAAAATTACATTCTAAAGTCTTATCTGGTCATACATGTATAGTTCCCTAAGATAATAATAATGATATTGTTTCCGTTGGAGTTTAGATCTGTGTATGTTGAAACTCTAGCAACACACTCAGATGCTGTGTTAACTTAATAATGTATCATTAATTTTCAGAGGTGATAACTACAACAACTCCACCTCCAACTACAACACCAACACCAAAGCCTACACTGCCTCCTTTGGATCTGATGATAACTACTGTCACGCACGACTCCGTGTTGTTACTGTGGAGCTCCTTAAAACTGCCAGACTCCTCTGATGTCATGTATGTTGTGGAGTACCACAAACGTGGCAGCAATGAGCAGTGGGAAACTGCTGTTAGCTCGCTGAAGCAAAACAAGTTCACTGTACCTAACCTGGATCCTGATACTATGTATGTGTTTAACGTACGAGCTGTGAGTCAAGATGGAACTACACTTACGCAAGGGTTGAAACAAGTGTCCAAGAGGACAAAGAAAAAGCCTACTGTGGTTGCCGTTAGTAAGTGATACAAAAATCTCACCTTTTAAACCAACAAGGAGATAAAAGCATGTGTACATTTACTTGTGAGGAGTTTACAGCTAATGCAGTGGATTTTTTTTCTTTGGCTTGTCGATTCAGCTTGTTCATTCCAAAGTGAGCCAGTGGAGTTCATTTTAGATTTCAAGATTGAAAGTACACTTCACCACTCAACAAGTAACCTTTCTCTCTCTCTACAGTGACATTACACTATGTACATGTAGTGCATGCAATGAGTAATGGTTTAAGAGACTTCAGATCAAGCAGTCTGGGTTTGAAGTAAAATAAAAATAATCGTTCTGTTTTCTATTCTAGAACCCACTGCTCCTGTGAATCCAATGGAAAATGTGAAGATTGACGTTAACTTAACACCCACTGGATCTGACAAGATAAATATCTCATGGAGCGTAAGTTAATATTGAGCGGTTTTTAGTGTCCTTGATATGTTCCAGTAGTTACTGTAGTACGCAAAATTTTTCAATCAAAGGAAAACCCAGAAATAGAAATGTTAGTCTACTGAAAAGGTAAAACTTAGAGGGGTCATGGTTAAAGGTATTTCCAAGTGTTTTGCATTTTTTAGAACAGGATACATGGAAGCAACCATAAGCTTTCCTTCAATCACCACTAGCACATTTCACCACACCATATTCCCAAACACATCTGGGACCTTAAAGACAACGGCACTTAATACTCCATCAAATGGTCCATTATCAAACAAGCAAATTCATAATGATACCCTTCTTGCTGCAATTTTTGCTTGTCAGTGAAACCCTGTATCGTAATTGCTGATAGATCTACCCTCCTCAACAAGAAATTTGAATCAATCACTAAATGCTGGCGCAAGAATAAATTCTATGCACCCAATCGCAAACAAGATCTCTCCAACCACCCTACTTGAATTTTATATCTGTTGCTTCCAACGGCACGGTCTGGTGATCACTAGGTGTACATGTGTGAAACTCCAGTAACTGTCTACACATTTTCTGTCCCAAAATTTGTATACTTATTATATGGTTAGCTCCGTGAGCGGGCAAGATGAATCAAATCCTGCGCTGTGATTGGCTACCCGAGCGGGCAAGATGGAGCTATCTTGCCCG